TGCTTCCTGTTAGACCAACGTCTGTGTTTAACTTGTCTCCTAACTTTAATATCCTTTCTTCCTCTGTCTAGCTCTTACTGTGGAGTGCACGCCGTGATTTGGTCTGGATCCAGGTCCAGGTCCTGCTGCTCCGTCTGGGTCCGTGAAGTGAAGAGTCACGGAGTGAGCATCAGCACAGGAGGGACTCAGGTGGAGGTATAGCCGACCGATGGGATCTGGGAAGCTGACTCAGGCTCTGCTGGGATGGGTGGTGATGTGCCTCGGGGCGGTTCAGGTGGCTTGCAGTCAAACTGGGAATGGCCCGTACCAAGCTAGCCGCTTCACCGGCACCGTGGACCAGAGGGAGGCGCAGCGGGTTCGACGCCGCGGCCAAGAGACATTGAGAGGGTGAGAATCTGTGTGTTTTACTGTCAATGGCCAATCACAAACATAATACAGAGTCACATGGCACTGCAGGCTGAACCAAAGTTCATGTAGAAACATTTGTCTCTGTATCTGAACAAGGATTCAAACCATGAATGTTTTCTCTGCTGAGCTGCTGAGCTTTCTGGGCTCAGGCCGAGCTCGCCTTACACCAGATCACGCTGCTGAATACTGCAGCGTTTCGTCAAAAACAGGACATTTGACATTAATAGACAGAATAAAATCTCCTGTGTTTTGTGGAACATATGTGAAACCACAGCTTTCTATAAGTCATGACCCAAATACCCCGAAGTGTACTGGTTACGCTATACAAAGGTATTCAGGAATGTGAGGAGATTATAGGCCTCAGTGTTTAAAGTATTTAACAGAGAAATTCAGTGAGCTGGGAGCTGCAGTGCAATAACATCAACCACTCATTTCTTTATATTTTCCTTCCCAGGAGTCAAAGTTTTGAGCAGTAGTTCGTCTTTGTTGAAGGTCTTTCAAAGTTTTTCTTTGGGCTTTGGCTGCTTTTCAGAGTTTTCTAAGGATTTTCTTTTTCATTGTTAAACTACTTCATGCTGACCTTTAAACCAGCGGTCCCCAACCCCCGGGCCTCGGACCGGTACCGGTCCGTGAGTCGTTTGGTACCGGGCCGCGAGAGTTGAGGCTCAGGTGTGAAATGT